TGAATGTGAAAAGCACTCAGCAGATAAATGAATATGTATGCAATAAAACTGGATGTTTTATGTGGAGTAAATCGATGAAAGACTAATTTTTGCAGTCTGCTGAAAGAAGCGATTAGTGCGGTTCGAGTGAGTGAAGTAATGCACGTGTTGAGGGATGCACACGTGGTAGCCATTGATGAAGGGCAGTTTGTGAGTTTTGTTTTGTTGCTGAGTGAAACGATTCATTGTGCAGAAAATTTCAACGATCACTTCAAACTGAATTTCTGATATAACCAGAGCGTCAGTGATTGCTTCGTTTGCGATGGAATATTTTTTGATTGGTTTTAGTTTGATGATATTGCCGAATGTGCTGAAAGTCTGGCAAATCAAGGCAAAATTGTCATCATTTCTGCTCTAGATGGGGATTTCTGTCGAAAGGTTTTTTGCTTCATGTTTTTCTATTATTAGTGACAGGCAGTTCAGATTTGAACTGCCTAATATTTAAGCTGAATTCATTGTGATTTTCTGTGGGCTCTCATAGAACAATAAAGAGCTTCCATCCATTTAGAAAAAGTTTTGCCAACACAGCCATTATGCTAAAAAAAGTAAGCCTTGACTAAAAAAGTTTCAACGTATAAATTGTAGTCTTTCATCGATCCAATGTCGATATTGTATTGATTGTGAGTTTAATTTCAATCGAGTTCATTTTGCAGCGATTCAAGAACATTCTAGATGTTTGCCCATTGTCAGAAAACATAACAAAACTGAACGCAGTATGTGTGAGTTGTGGCAACGATGCTGCCTTCACGAGACGTCTTACAGCTGATAATGATGTATGTTTGTTGTCCGAATTAACTGTCATTTCGTATCATCTCTGCTTTATTCCTATTATACACATCAGTGACATTGTTTCGTGCATCTTACTGAGGAGAAAAACATGCTGCGCTGTATCATCCTCTCGACAACGGCAAGAATGCGATAAGGCAATAGCAGGTCACTGCTTGGCATTCACCATCAAATTAAAAAAGAAACAGTGCACGATGAATAATTTATCATTCCCAGCAAAAGAATTAACATTACACATAAAAAGTTTGCGTGTTTTGCTG